GAACGTTGTACACAGTTAACAGCCACATTGTGCAGTGATAATACTGATAGACTTAGCCCTTCTCAGCCATGCAAGTATCTAAGACACCTCCAAAGGCCTCACGGTGGAAAATGCTATCCACATCTAAAGAAAGAACTATGGAGTTTAAATACAGACGGAAGCATACCATTTGCTCTTTTTTTGCTTCTGTTTTGTTTTGTTTCCTCTTTCTTGTGATTCCTCCTATTGGTTCTAATTCTTCCTTACGACATGACTAATGTGAAAATATGTTTAATGGGAATACATACATACAGCCTATATCAGATTGCATGCTGTCTTGGTGAGAGAGGTGGGGAGAGAAGGTGAAAATAATTTAAAACTCAAAAGCTTATAGAAGTGATTGTTGATAACTCAAAATAGATTGATAAAGAATAAAAAAAATATAGAAAAAAGAAAGTATAACATACTGCTGTGAATGAAAGCATGTTAAATGGTTTTTCTCTCTGGGTTTTGTAGATAGGCCCACCCATCAGACTGAACATGTATTGGCAGCTTCTTCCAGATAAAACATATTCTTTTACTCCCATATAAGTAACACACAGCTTTAATGTGAAATCACAAGGGACAGGGGACTGATCTGTTTAAAGAAGCTTTTTTACATTTCAGGCCTATTGTTTTTTGCTCCAAAATGCCATTAATGGGACTTATTCCAAAGTACAAGCTGGAGTTAACTAGGGTACTATGTGATGTTGTTTTGGTACCAAAACACTCTGGTCTTTGGATTTTTTTCTATTTTTTTTTCTTTAGCCAAAACATTTTTTCAATATTTGGAAAGCAACCGATGCTTGAAACCCTGGTCACTTCCTTTCCATAATGAAGTTATGATTATGCTTTCCATTTACCAGATGTTCTTCTCCCTGGTGCTTTAGTTGATTTCTAGAACTAATTGAACTGTTCAAGGTAGTATTAACTGCTATGGTAATATAACCAAGTAGAGTTTGAGTCAGAAATCAGCTCCCAGGGGAAAATGGATGTTCTCAATCCCTGCGAATCATCTTGGATTCTGGGCAGATGGGCCCTCTTGCAATGGCTGGCACACGTCATAGACGTAGAAGATGCTGTTACGTTGCAATGCACACTTTTAAACAGAAGTTTACTTAGCCACTTTGGCCAATAAGTATGTTACAAATAGAGTCTTCTTCTCTCTAGGATCATGGTTAATAAGGGACTTTCAAGAGCATAGGAACAACAACAACAAAAACAACCCCCTTATTCAGTATTGGGGAAGGAAGGAAGATGAGGTTTGGTTTTTTTTCCAGTTGTTCTTGTCATTCTTATACAAAACTAATGTTAATTTCGTCTACATCAGCCTGGTTTTTTTATATGGATTGTGTCTAGTAACACCTTTCTTAATGGCCAGACTGTTTGGGAGAAGCCTGGGCACTGGGCGCTTGGTTGAAGAGTTTGCTAATATACCCTCAAGTTCTGTTCTTTTCTTTAACATCTCTATTATTCACAGCTGGGAAGGAACCTTTGTGTTGTATAAGTTGTAGTATGCAGTGACAGGGTATCATGAGTTCGCTGTGTGCATAATTCTATGTTATGAAAACCTTTCACTGAATTCTTAAATTGACTGGTTTGAAATGAGCATTGTATCATGCCTTAATCAAAACTTGCATAAGAACTTGCAATCATAAGAACTTGCAAAATTGGCGCAGGATATCAAGGAGAAGGGAAGGGAAATATAAGCTCTTGATCCGCCCTTATTGTCTAACCCTGGCTTATAGTACACCGTTTGGTAAGTGACTTCATTCAAGTGTTTGTTTCCAGTTTTTACATAGGACTTCAGAATCATAGAAGTGTAGAGTTGGAAGGGATATCTGAGGTCTTTTAACCCAACCCTTACATGAAGCATGAATCCTTTAGGCTACCTTCCCACTATGGAGTCCTATGTTTGCTAAGATATGGTTGCTATCTTTTGGGGAGAATAAAATAAATTGATTCTTATATCAATAACTCCTTTAATGATCAATATTACCTTAAAATGCATTTATTTAATGTAATTATTTTTGTGTGTGATTGTATAAATAATACACAGATTAAATTGTACTATAGTATAATCCTATATGCTCAATTCTACAACAATCTTAAATTTAGAATTGTACATTGTAATTATATGTTTGCAATCAAGTGCAGTATCACTGTAATATATGAACATATGATTAAAAAAAATTAGCGCTAGTCTTAGAATCAAAAGACCTGGGTTTGAATCCCAAATCTGCCACTTCCTGGCTGCATGACCTCACGGTAGTAATTAGCCTCTCTGAGCATCACTTCTCTCATTTGTAAAATTGGGGTAAGTGAGGCTTGATCACAGGGTTTTGTGAGAAAAGAACTTTGCGAATCTTAAAATATTGATACCATCCTAGAACCTACTTTACTGGTTTGTCATGGTGAGGAAATGAGATAATGGATGATTAGGCCCTGGGACATTCTCTTTCATATGTGGGCCTCACAGAAAATCTTCCCTAGACATGAATGAACTTCCCCACCAATACCTTTTATCAGCCAGAGGACACCTTAGACATCTGGAAAGACATCTTATCAAATAGGATAACAAATAAAGGGATGGCAAGGTTCCTTTGATTCACAAATGAGACACACTCTCCCACAGGTTACCATACCACCAATGGGGAAGAGAACTGATAAATAGGAATCACGCATGAGAGGAACAAACCTAGGGATCATATGTGGCCAGGACATACGCATAAAATGATACAAATACAGGATGCATACATGGAGGGTACTGCTACAGGAAACATGTGTGGCTAGGGCAACCCAGTTCTGATGTTGCTGCTGCTCTCTTCCGAATTTCTTTGTTCTTTATTAGTCTGTTGATCAGTTTGCTGGTCTCATGGTCACTGAAGGGCACATCACGTCTTCTGGGCATTGAATCTCTAGTTGAAGTTGAGCACTGCTCCAGTGGTCACTGCTGGATGTTCCTTAGCATATCTCTGCTTCCGTTTTCTGAGCTTTATCTTTTTAGAACCACCCAATGGTCCTCTCAGCTTTAGTCTGCTACACTTTGGTAAATGGAAAGCCTTTTTATGTGGGTAAGATCAGACTGACAGCTTTTTAATCATAGCCCTAGAGGATGAGCTACCATATTCAGTTTTGGGGCAGCCAAATAAAAACCAGCTAAAGCTCCCCAAATCCCCAATGTGAAGATTTTTTTTTCAGTCCTACATCTGGTGTTGAGCTCCTTAACTCAAACTACTGTATTTCTTAGAGTTGAAAATTCTGAGGATTCTCTGGAGCTAGGCATAAAGAAAGAGTAATTTGATCTAGAACAAAAGCCATGTGAAAGAGGAAACACAATTGTATTGACTCTCTTGGACCACATTTCTGCTTTTATTATGTATATCTGTAAGGTGCAAAACTCTTTGGCTTTGATGCTATATATTGTCCAGCAGTTGGACAACATATAGCATATATTGTTTGTCTCTTTGTATTTGAACAGTGCTTTGTAAGACATGGAACACTATATAAATGTCAACTATTATTATTTAGCCACTACCTAATCAATTGGATTATAAAATTATAAATAAATATAGGCATCTTTTGCTTAAAAGAACCTCACTAGAATTCTGAAATTATTGACACTTGAATTAAAGTTGCAAATTCACTACAAGGAAGAACAACCATTTTGTACTAAATACCTTTTTCTGTTTCTGCCTCTGATCACAAACCTTAGTTTCTACTGTGGTTGTATATTGTAGCCCACACTTCAACCTCAGAGTATCAGGTAACAAATAAGCAGCAATTTCAAGTAGTGGGTTAGGGAGTAGAAGGAAGGAGGGAATAGTAAAGTTGTCTAGGTTACTTTAATGAAAGGCTTTAAAGTAGAGCAAAGCTTTTTCAAAGGAACGTTGAATTGTGAGTCCTGGAGAACTTTGATCTAAGTTTCTAGACTGAATTGAAAAGATCATCTAATTAGAAGACTGAGACAACTGAAGGATTTAATTTGGGTAGAATGTCTAATATGGTAAATATATATTTAAAAATTTTTGAAAGATATTTTTATTTGGGGGTTGTGTTAGAGGAAAGTGGATCCATTATTTTTTTTTGTTTTGTTTTAGGACTGTGGGCCTTACTAATGAGCAGAGAAAAATCATGCTAAACAGAATTTGCCTGTTCAGAAAAAACAAATTTTATTTTAGGTTCATTCAATGTCAAATAAATAATATCCCCATCTGTGCTGTAGCTGACATGTATTTAGTGTTTTAAGGTTTATGAAAGTACTTTCTTCACAATAACCTGTGAGACGGGTAGTATCTTATTTTTGGGGAAGCTTAATTGCATGTTGAATGACCAGAAGGAAGGTGTAGCATTTGGGAGAGAGATAGAGTCAAGGGAACAATTTGCTGAAGGGCAAATAAGCCCATTTGAAGGCAGAGCTGAGGAAGGAAGACTTATCCATCCTGTCAACGAAGGGGTCATTAAATGCACTCTAAGCCACCATTGGCTTAAGGACCTCAGTTATTCTTTCATCCTTATTTGACTTAAAGCTATGGATTATTCAAGTCAATAGAAAAAAAGTAAATTTTTCAAAGATATTTAATCAAGAAGGTTACAATTAGCTAATAAAACAACAACAATCACCAGAGTTTGTGTAGAATTTTGTGGTTTGTAAATTGCTATACATGAGTTATCTCCTTTGATGCTGCCCTGTAAGGTAGGTGCTATTATCCCTGTCTACAGATAGAGAAACAGGCTGAGAGCTTATTTGCCTTAGAGCTGGATAGCTAATTGTCTGAGTCAGGATTTGAATTCAGGTCTTCGTATCTCCAAGTTCAAGGCTGTATTTCTATGCTACCTAAATAAGTTGAGAACCAAAAGAGCAGCACGACAGAAAATACGGTGGGAATTGGAATGAAAATGTGAGACACTAGGGATACATTGTTCTGTTTGAAGACTTATTTTCCAACTTTGGATGGTGATAAATTGAAATTATTTTCCAGCTTATGTTCAAGGATTTACCGCCTTGATAATTATCATCTTGGGAATCTTCATTGTCTATGTAATATACAGGTCAGTTTGTTTTTAAAACATTTTTCAAACTTATATTTAGGACTTGATATATAATGAAATTTTGGGAATGATGATTCTGAGGTCCTTTCCCCTCTGACTTCATGATCCTATGATTCCTTGCCTTCTGTAAGCCTATTCCTCCTGCTGACCCACCTTCTTCTCCTCCCCACACCACTTTGGATTTCACAATGTGGAAGGAGAAGCCCACCACTACAATTCCTGTCTCTATTGCCTTTCTTAAACTTGAGCAGGATTTTTTTTTGGGGGGCAATTGGGGTTAAGTGACTTGCCCAGGGTCACACAGCTAGTAAGTGTCAAGTGTTTGATCTGAGACTGGATTTGAACTCAGCTCCTCCTCACTTCAGGGCTGGTGCTGTATCCACTGCACCACCTAGCTGCCCTCCTTTTGCAGAATTTTTGCCATTGTTCAGCTCACTGTCCAGGCTTGTTCTCCTCAAAACCCTAATTCATAGTCAAGCTTAGTGCTTATTGTCCCAACTCTGCTGATAGTCCATTTGAAATCAACTACACATTTGCTCTTCAAATCCCAACCTTGCTGAGCGCCTAATGCTCCCATAGTGGCCTTGGCTCCATCTTGTCACACAGCCCTCCCCTGCATCTGGCTTCCTGGTCTTGCCTTTGGTCTACTATCTTTCCTCCTCCCCCTTCAGATCTCATTCTAACATCTGAGAAGCTTTCTTCCTCCACTGGTGAACCTAGCTGTCAGATGGAATAGGATGGCAATGAGGATAGGAGAGTGGTAAGAAAAGGGAAAGGCTGAGTGATGCTAATGGGTGCTTCGGAGTATTAACTCATGAATCATACAGTTATGGACCTGGAAAGGTGCTGGACCAAAATGGAAGAAATCTCCTAAATCTCACCAGTGCTCTCTCTTGTTCCCCACTAACCTTACCCAAGAACTACTTATTGAGGCAATAAGTATTCATTAAACACCTATTACTTGCAAGGCACATTGTTTATCATGATATTCGGAGAGGACATTTTGTTACTCTTTGACAGTGTTACTGAAATCCCCTTGGATGGGATCTGCTTTTCTATGTCTAAACGATTGGTCAGTTCTTGTCCTTTGAGGGGGAAGAATGCCAAGCATTCTGACTATCTTGTCTTGTCATGATTCCTAAGCACTTTGTTCTTTGTGATATCAGAGACAAGATCTACCTTGAAAAGAAAACTGGATTGTAAGGATATTTGAGTTCCAGTCTTAGTTCTGCCATTAATTAGGGTTTATCTTAATCTCTCATCACCTTATATTCAATGCCTGTGGAATGAGAGGATTGGAAGATTGGATTTAGATGGATTCAGTGGATTGGACTCCTATGTGCTATGATTCCAAACCCTATTAGCATGAGTAATTTAAGTTAACTTGTCTACTAGGCCCTGGCCCTTGCATTTCCCTACTATTCCATTCTAGAGCGGAAGGGGAAATACAGGAAAGGAAATGTGATAAGCCTAAAACCCCCAAAAGCAAGGGGTATGCAATCTTTGCTTTCCTAAGAACCCATGTGTCTAGATTTCTACTGTTCCATAATTGTTCTGAACTCTAAGGAAGTTACAGTTAGTTGCATTTTAGAACTATACTGAGCCTTTAGTTCAATCTCATTTAATAGATTAATAAATGGAGGCCTAAGGGTGTTACGTGACATAGTAGAATATAAGCTCCTTGAAGGCAAGGACTGTTTTCATTTTTGTCTTTGTATCCCTAGCCCCTAGAACTATGTTAATTATGAAGTAGGAATTTAATGAGTGCATGTTACATTCTAGAGAATGTAAACTCTTTGAACTCAGGGAGTGTTTCATTAATGTATTTATATTCTAGTAACTTATAGTAGCACATAACTATTTGGGGGAGGGTGTGTGTGTATTGTTTGAGCATTTGTTGAATTTAATTGAATAAAATTTGTCAGCAGAATTGAAACTGGAACTCAGTTCTTTTGACTCCCAATCTGGTAACCTTTCCATTATACTATGCTGTTGCTATTACTGATGATTTAAAATTATCATGAAAAAAAAATGGTCATTTTATTTATTTATTTATTGGTGTAAAAAAAAAGAAAATTCTAAGTCGCAAAGTTAATGTCTCACTATTTGATGGTTAAATGAGGGAATGGATTGGTAACCTGTTGAGGTTTCTGATATCTGATTTCTATGATTGAAATTCAAAATGCTATTTTTATCAGAGTTGTACAGTGCAGAAATAAAAAGTCAACTCAAAAGCTGTATGGATCACATCAAAAGAAGAACAAATTGAGACCTGAGCGTATCCCAGCCAATCAGGAGATATCTGATGAAGAAGGTACTAAGTTACTGTGCATAGAAATCATAGAGTTCTAGAATCTCAGTTCTGAAAGGTCCTTATAGGTCATCTGGGTCAAAGCCCTTGCCAAAGCAGGAATCTCCACCATTGTACTGCCTAGGAGTGGTAGACACCATGGTGTTCCGATCAGAAATGAAATAAATGAGAGAACAGTCCAATAGTATACTTGTTTTAAACAAACATGATGATTCTATTGTTAATTTAGCCATCCTAATTGGTCCCTCTCTCCCTGAAAATGCATAGTCTATGATTTTAAAAGATAAATGCTACTCTCAACTTTTATTTCCTTCTATTCTATTCCATTGCTGTAAAAACCCTTTTGGTGCCAACTTTTAAACATGACTAACTGAACCAAGAAAAGAAAATACTGACAGAGGACAGTGAGAAACTGAATCGTAAGTGGTCTGAAGATGAAGGTACTAAATCCAACTGTATATAAATTATAGAGGCCTAGAATTTCAGTATTTAAAGAGTCTTTATTGGCCCTAGAGCTCAAGTCCCTCCCCAGTGTATTAATCCCCTTTGCAACATTCCCTGAGAGTTGTAGACATCATGGTTTTGGAATGAAACGGTAGTTAGAAAAGTAAACCAACAGATAATACTACTTTTTAGAAAAATAAAATGATTCTGTCTGTAAATTTGGACAACAGTCTATTTGTTCTCTTTCTCTTTGTCTCTCTGTCTGTCTCTGTTTTTTGTGTCTCTGTGTGTCTCTGTCTCTGTCTCTCTGTCTCTGTCTGTCTATCTCTCTCTCTCTCCTAGAGTGGAAGGTCTAGCACTATAGAATGGTAAATTTCATTCTCAACTTCTATTCCCTTGCTACAAAACCCAATATGATGATGGAATGGAACTTCCTACTACTTAGTATTTATATGCATAATTCCCCATACCTTTCCCTTTTAACTGAACTTGACCCTTTCTCTTTAATGTTGCTTTTTCTTACTACAAAACTGTCCTTGGTTTTAGGAAAGCCTTAAAGAGGAATTAAGATAACTACCACTGAATTTATTACAATAGTTGAAGAGTACAGTGAATGGTGTGGAGTAATTAAGTATTCTTCCTTTGACTTTGACTAAATGGGCTTTCCACACCTGTTTAAGAACTCTTTGAAGGCCTTGAAAGGATCTTTTGCTCTGCCCTTTAACTCCAGTGACCTGTCAATGGGCCAAATCACATAAGGAGAACAAATCCTTCATGGAATAATAATAATGGCTGACATTTATTTAAAACTTTAAGGTTTGTAAATCCCTTTACTTATGTTATTATTTTATTTGATTCTATGTTTTTGTCATCATCACACAAGCTGGCTGAACATGTGGGGAACAGCTTTTTGTGGTGATTGGGAAGTCTCACCTTTACTATTACTTCTGGATTCAAAATTTCTCATTATCTCTGCCCCCAACCACTAGAAATACTTTGCTTCCTCTAGGTGTTGATCTCTTGTGATAAGACAAGTGAAGTATTTTGATTAATAGCAAAAGAGGGTAATGACAACAACATCAGACATGACATGGTAGCAAAAGATTTCTCTACCATTCTCTGTTTGAAGAGAAAATCAGGTAGTTCCGTGGCTTAGCATGAACCTCTCTTTTCCTGATATTACTGTAGTAGAGTTATCATTCATGGCATTTTCTAGGGAAGCTGCTGACCACACCATCCAGTCACCCTGTGTGCTGGTTTTAGCTCTGGACCTTGACTTCATCACTATCAAGGGATCAGCAGTATATGACTTCTAAAATTACCTATTTTGAACTATGCTCCTGGTCTTATGGACCTGGAGAAGGAGGAGGGAACTCTCTATGAATACAAGTTAAGGTTGGAGAAGGCATAGTGGATACCAATCTCTGCACTCTGTGGACATTCATTACCTTTCACCTTGGCTACTCCTTTTCTGTCTCCGCTTTCTAATTTGATCTTGCCTCTGGGATGTCTAGTATCCTTAACCACTGGTGCCCTACTACTTATAAAAAGCACCCTGCAGACCTTATCCTGGCATCTTCACCTCCAACCCCTTATCCCATTTATAGGTCTGAACCAAAACAGCTCTGTTGTCCAAACATGCATCAGCTAAAATGAATGGTATTACACTGAAAGCATTTTGTCTAGTGAAGAGTGGAGAGATCCTATTCAGTAACTAGTAGAAGGATTTGGAAATGGTAAGCACTCTGTGTTTCCTAGAATGCACGCAGATGTACGCATAGCTGGATTCCTTAATGATGTACCTTTTTTCCTAGAACAGCTCAGAAGAGACTCTCATCTTCCCTGCTTATGAAATATTCCAGTTATACTAGACTTTACTCAAGTGAAACTTTCCCTGAGGTGTCTACATGGGCTGATATTCTCCCTTCTTTCTTAAATTCTTTATTTTGGGGATGAGGGAAAATCTGCTGCTTTCGTGTTTATTTGTACCTCATATGACATCTGTCTCCCCCACCCCCCAACAAACCCTTACCCTTATAATCTTTAGAATCTTATTTACAGCTGAAAGGGACTTCAAAGTAGCTGCACGCCTTAGCATTCTTCTTGTTCTCCTAAAACAGTCTTTCAGTTGCTTTTCGCCATAGCTGCTACCCCAAAGCTCGGGATTCTTCAGGAGCCCTAGAGTCTGAGGATCTCCAGGTTTGGTCTGCTCCTTCATTACCAACCTGTAGCTTATTACAACTAGTGGGGCTGCCTCCAGAGCCAAGCCTTCAGCCAGTAAGCTTTCATCACCAAGACAGCCTTGACTGGCTCCCCGGGCAGGTTTGCAGCTTCTCTAGTCAGCCTCTTCGGATGAAGTTCTGCTATTATAATACCTCTCTTTTTTCATCCCCAGTCAATTATGAAATGCTATGTCCTGGACTTGCAGATCATGATTCCCATCAAATAGCTCTGTCCCAATTAAGGAATTGTAACCCTCTAAGCATATCAAGAGTCAGAAGCATTCCCAATATAATCATGGTGCCCTAACCAAAGGCATTGCAGTGGACTAGTAGATAGAGTGCTAGACCTGGATCCAGGAAGGCCTAGGTTCAAATCCCACTGTTGACACTAAAGGATCCTGGGCAAGATACTTAAACTTTCTAAATATCATTTCCTCCTTTATAAAAAGGGAATAATATTTATAGTATCCACTTCTAGAGGCAAGTAGGTTGCTGAGTTGATAGAGCGTTATCTGGAGTTGGAAAGATCTGATTTCAAATCTGGTCTCAGACATGCACTAGCTGTATGACCCTGGACAAGGCACTGAACCTCTGTTTGCCTCAGTTTCCTTAACTGTAAAATGAAGATAATAACAGCATCTACCTCGCACGATTGTTGTGAGCATCAGATGAGATAATATTTGTAAAATGCTTAGGTCAGTTTCTGGCACAATTTATATAAATGCTTATTCCCTTCTCCCTTTCTCCCCAAGGATTGTTGTAACAATCAAATGAGATATCATGGAAAGTTCCTTGAATAAATTTTTTTTTTTTTAGTGAGGCAGTCAGGGTTAAGTGACTTGCCCAGGGTGACATAGGTAGTAAGTGTCAAGTGTCTGAGGCCGGATCTGAACTTCGGTCCTCCTGATTTCAAGACCAGAGCTCTATCCATTATGCCACCTAGCTGCCCCCCCCCGAATAATTTAAAATACTTTATTGTTATTATTCCACAACCTTGATGTTTTATTGTGCCAACCTGGGGCAGCAAGAGCAATTGAGTGGCCTGCCTAGACTTGTAGTGCCCTTCCCCAGTCTCAGCCATGCCTAGGAAAGTGACACTATATTTCTTAAAAGGATGATAGATATTTTGAATCTATGGTACTCTTTCTTTCTCCAAGTTAATTTATAGTGGATAGAGTGCTGGATTTGGAGTCAGGAAGACTCTTACTAGCTGTGTGACCTTGGGCAAGTCATTTACTCTCTGTCTGCCTCAGTTTCCCCATCTATAAAATAGGGATAATAATAGCAACTACCTCACAGGGTAAGTGGGAGATCAAATGAGTTAATATTTATAAGGCACTTTGCAAACCTTAAATTGCTAAATAAAAATGAGCTATTATTATAGCTACTTTTTGTATCTGCTCCACAGCTTAGTGGATCAAGATCTTTGTTAACACAGGGACAATGAGAGTGTTCTGATATTTCTCCTGTACCCTAAGGACTTAAGTCCGTGTTCACAGGGAAATTTTTTTACGAAATCTTATAGGTAGCAGCGATTGAAAGAAATGAGACAGTTTCCCTTCTTAGGTGGCTTAATGATGCCAACTGAAAAGCAATCGCCACCCAAACCTTTTGTCTCCATTCCACTAGCACATATATGGTTGTGTCTCAATGGGGAAGAAGGGTGGATGGGACAAAAAGAGCCTAATCAGAGTTCACAAAGAAGCTGGCAATGCCCAGGTTTATACTGAGATCCATCGGGTTCCTTAGTAGCACTGATCATATTATTTCTTGGTTAATAAAACATTTGTCTGTCTTGTGGCATATAGAGATGTTCCTAAGACTTCATGAGATCTTGGTTTGCTGATTATTGTGATTAAAAATTGCTTTTGTTTCTTTTTGTTGTCATCTAGTTATAATGACAGTGCCAGCTTGGGAAGGAGAGTTGGAATAAAGGGACACGATAAAACCGAGGAGGAAATAACCAATAGTGATGATTAAGGGACAATTTCTTTGGCAGGTCAGGTTCCATTATTTTATATGATGGAGCTGTCATTTCATCTGGAGAAAAAATACAAATGTTATTTTCCAAAGTGCTATTTATGCTGCATTTTCCTATTCAATTCTATCTATCTATCTATATCTATCTATCTATCTATCTATCTATCTATCTATCTATCTATCTATCTATCTATCTATCTACTTTTATGGAGAGAGGAATTGAGGAGGGAAGGAAGGGGAGAGAAAAATGAAAATAAATTTATTAAGTGATTACTGTGTGTCCAGTACTGTGTGTGACAGATGAAAAGTCTGAGAGACCTAATTTCTGGGTAATTAATAATTAATTAATTATGGCTTGCAAATAGTTAATAGATCAAAGTCAGCAGTTTTCTCTCATAAACCAAAGAACCTCTTCCCCCCTCAACATTGAATGCTTAAAAAAAACAACCTTTGGGAAAGGGAGTGTACCTGAGAGTGGAAATCAACTCTGATTGGTTAATAACCAATAAGGGGGTGGACCTATTAATGAGGAGAGGGCAAAAAGTCTTCAGCTCCTCCTACTGAGAACATGATCCCATTACAAGAGTCAGCTCCCTCCAGCAATCTGGACAAAAGACTCCCATCTCTACCCCAGACTACTCTGACCTAATAACCTACTGGGGCTGGTTTCTGAATGAGGAAACAGGAAGGGAAAACCTTAATCCTAATGTAATAACTGATTATTAATATAAGAGAGAAATAATCATTTCTCTCATGTGCACAGCACTGGGGAACACAGATACAAAAGCAAAGACAGTCTTTGACCTTAAGAAACCTACATTTTAATAGGAGGTAACATATACTAAAGAATGATAACCAGGGAAGGTATTATGTTTTTGGAAAGTTACAGAGATGATGAGTGGAGCCATCTGTTCCAGGAGCCAGGAAGGAGCCAGGAAGAGTAAGAGGGAGTGTGGAGATGGGGGAAGGGGAAGATGTTAGAGAGAAGACATACACATTATCAAAGTAAATGGTGAGAAAGCCCCATTGTGAAGTGGCTGGGAGTGGGCCTAGATGTAGTGAGCAAGTAAGACAATCCCTACTTATAGCAGCAGGGTCCCAGGTTATAGGAGGTTGGGGGGAGAAGGGATTCTGTTGTTCAGGGAATGGTTTCTGGTTCAGGTGGAGGGCTGGTGAGAAGGTAGCCAAAAGAAGCAGAGCTGGAGCTGAAGAGAGAAGAGAAAGGGAGGAGGAGAAGAGAAATATTTGAAATATTTAATTGGAAGTACTTGGCTTCCCCTCCCCATTTTAACATTTTTATTTAATGTTTTGAGTTCCAAATTCTGTTCTTCCCTCCCTCCCTCTCCCTCCCCCTCCCTGAGATGGTAATTAGATATATAATATACATGTGCAATTATGTGAAGCATTTCCGTATTAGTTATTTTGAGCAAGATTTGAATAAAAGAAAAAATGAAAGTGAAAATAGCATACTTCAGTCTTAACAGTCTTAAACAAATACCATTTCTTTCTCTGGAGGTGGATAGTATGCTTCATTATCAGTCTTTTGGGATTGTCTTGGATCATTGTATTGCTGAGAATTGCTAAGTCATTCACAGTTCTCCATCAAACAATATTGTCGTTACTGTACACAGCATTCTCCTGGTTCTGTTTATTTCACTATGCATCAGTTCATGTAAGTCTTTGCAGGTTTTTCTAAAATCATCCTGCTTGTCATTTCTTATAGCATCATAATATTCCATTACAATCACATAGCCCAGCTTGTTTAGCCATTCCCCAATTGATGGACATCCCTTTGATTTTCAATTCGTAGCCACCACAAAAAGAGCTACTATAAATATTTTTGTACAAATAGGTCTTTTTCACTTTTTTGGGATGTCTTTGCGATATAGACCTCACAGTGGTATTGTTGGATCAAAAGGTATGCACAGTTCAATAGCCCTTTGGGCATAAGTACTTGGTCTTTTTATTCCTTTATTCCTTTATTTATTTATTTACTTATCTATTCATTCATTCATTCATTTATTTATTTATTTATTTATTTATTTATTTATTCATTCATTTATTTATTTATTTATTTATTTTTTGTACTTGGTCTTTTTAAAGGACAATATGTATAGCTAGCAAGGAACCTGTAGCATCTTCGTGACTGTCCTCTAGTTCATAGCTAATGTCTTCAATTTCAGGCACAATTCCTTCAATACAAAAGCATTGTCTATTGTGTGCTAGGTGCTGAGACTACAAAGATAAGACAAACAGAAAACCTTCTCTAGTTCTTGTCCTCAAGGACTTAACGTTCTCTGAGGTATACACTTACATGGCAGCAAGGTGGGGCAGTGGATGGAGCACTGGGCCTGGAGTCAGGAAAACCCGAGGTCGAATCTGACCTCAGAAGCTTATTAGCTGTGTGACCCTAGACAAGTCACTTAACCTCAGTTTCCACATCTGCAAAATGAGTTGGAGAAGGAAATGGCAAATCACTCCAGTATCTCTGCCAAGAAAACCTCAAATGGGGTCACGAAGAGTTGGACATGACTGAATAACAACAACAAAATATACTTACACAGATAAGTAAACACAAGCTATGGCTGTTCTTGGCCTCGAATATAGTTTGTTTCTGGCACTATCCTAGAGCTCATCATGTTGGAAACATTAGCTCCTCTATGAGCTGGAGACTAAGAGAATGGAGAAATAAGGTGAGTCATGGTCTCGTCTTCTAGGGACATGAGGCTATTTTGAAACCTATATAGCAAAGTTTGAAGGGGATGGAAAAAAGCTTAACCACAGTCTTTCTGTCAGCACTCATTAGGATGCCTTCTCTTTCCCCTTGTGGCTTGAATAAATAGGTATAATTGCTATTTAATTAGCACTTTAAGTTTGCAAAAATGCTCTACATGTATTACCTGATTCAAGCCTCAAAACTAATATGTGAGAAAGGTACTATAAATATTATTCTGATTTTATAAATGGGACGTTGAGGCCCCATTTGCTCACGATCAATCACTTAGCTAGGGTCAGAAGTGCAAGTTGAACCTGCTTGGATTGACTAAAGCATAGCATTAAATCTTTGCTCTATTTCCTGTTTGTGTTTCAGTAGGAATAAATTATTTCTAGAAGAAAATCTCACTTGTTTGGAATGAGCACTACCTGAATTTGATATATACACTTAAGAAAAAAAATGCAAATGAGGAAGAATTCACCCAGATTAACTATTTTGAAAATCTGAGAGCCTTATTAAAATTGCTATGGAATGTTATGCTATTTTATTTACATCACTTATTTCTTCTGATTGTAGTAAGTGAAAAGTGACTAATTCTTTGAAGTCTGGCTTCCAATCTCATCACTCAATTGAAACTGCCTTTTCCAAGTTCCTAGCCAGCTCTTAATAGCCAGATATAATCTTTCCCCAATCCTCATCCTTCTTGACCTATTTGCTGTATTTGACTCTGTCAACCTCTTCTTTTGGAAAGTCTCTCCCGGATTGTCCTCACTAACTAACATTTACATGGTACTTACTATGTACTAGGCACAATGTGCTTTACAAATATGATCTCATTTGATCTTCACAACAACCCTGGGAGGTAGATGCTATTATTGCCCCCATTTTAGAGATTAGAAAACTGACTTCTGGTTTTCCCCCTACTCATCTGACTGCTACTCAGTCTTTGCTGGCCCATCATCCATCTTACATCCCATGACCAGGAGTATTCCCCGGACTCCGGGCTTCTGTCCTGTGCCTTTTCTCCTCCTACTCTTGGTAATTCATCAATTACCGTTGGTTGGATGCACCTCAGATCAAAGGAGCAGAGAAGTAAAAGCTGCTCAACACTGCCCCCTACCTTGATGTGTGCATACCACAGGTAGTGGCCGTTTTCCTCCCTAACCAAATGCCACTGTCTTCTGTTCCACGCAGGTACACTACGTTCACGTTGGCATAGAAAGTAGTAAAGGAGGTTCCCCACGGCTGTACCTACCTGGGTATGGGAAGGAGCAGTGGGGGAACTTTAGAGGTTCATATCAGCACCTCTTTCCCCATCCTCTCCACTCCCCCATTTCTATTTATTTGTGTAGATATTTCCCCATATGCCTAGTATGGACATCTTCTGCAGCACCAAATGTTGGAAGCCTTTTCTTTCTTCAAGGTATATCAGGTGCCTCCTCCAAGAAGCCTTCCCAGACTCACCACCTAAACCATGTAGCACCCAAGTATGTGCTACAAGATTTAGACACTTGATACTAGCTGTGTGACCCTGGGCAAGTCACTTCACCCCGATTGCCTCACCAAAAAAAAAGATGTAGGTAGAGAACAGGCTGATGAATCATGCTAATTTTTAAAGTAAAATAATTTTTTAAAAATTATCATAGAAGAATCACTGCTGGGAGTAGAGGGACCGGTGTACACTCCTCTCCATAGACATACAGACCTTTCTGGGTTCATTTCTGAAAAATCTGGATGGCTAATTAGGGGATTATTCTTTCTTTGTAACCCACACCACGTTGCTTGTCTAGTAGATGCCACTGCCTCATTTGTGCTGGCGGCCATGGCTTCTCAGCATAGTCACAGACTTGTAGATCTTTTGAAATTCACAGGGCTGCCTGGACACTTCTGTCTCAGGATGTTTGTTCTCCCAAGGTCAGAGAGGCAAAGAGAGACAAAGGCAGCCCAGGATCCCTGACAGGAGCTTGCTTGATTAAGTCCCTTTGCATTAGCTGCCATGTGGGTGAGATCACCATTATACTAGAATAGAGAAGGACCTTTTCCTTCCTTAACCCTCCTCACTAGAGTCACTCACATCTTGCTTTCTGGAAAGGCATACATAGCCAAGGGGCCAGATCCAGAAGCTGTTTCTTTTTAAAATGTCCCTAGAGTCATCAGCTTTTCCAGCACAGCAGTCAATTATAGGACTCTTTGTCATCACACAATACAAGTCTCTTCAAATGGGCTGGAAGTAGCATTTTCTGTCAACCCGAACAACCTTCCATGTGGCAGACTGGAAGCAGGCAGAGAATATCCACT